ATCATCATCTAACTTATCATTAAACATCAGGGAGAGATTATGAAGAACAGCACATGCTACAACAATTGTTGTAGATGTTGACAATTTTGTAGTAAGCCCTTTTGATAAACATGGAAATCTACGTTTCCATATACCAAATGTTCTCTCTACAATTATTCTTGTTCTTTTATGAATTATATTATAACTAAGAGAAAAAAAATATATCATTAAAAACCACAATACTATTAAACAAGAATTTTTAAATAATAGTAAAAAAATAATAATTACAAAAAATAAAAAAACACGTAACGAACCTTGTTTCTTCATCTGTTGTGGGATCACTAATTGGCGTAAGTAAGAAAGGCAATGCGGGATATCCAGCATCTCCAACAAGCATCCCATCTAATTGGCCTTGTGTATATCGCATAAATATGCGAGAATTTTGTAAGATTCGACTATCGTGNTGACTACCTGGCCATTCTGGAACAATATCTAGAATTTCAGTGCGTGGTCCAACAATAACCTACAAAGAAAAAAAATGAGATAATAAAAGAATACGAGTTTTTGTTTTATATATTCTTTTGTACAAAATATTTTNTTAAATTATTCAAACAAGTATATATACCTGAACATTCAAAGAAAAATATCCTTTTCTATTTCTAAAAATTTCATCAATGTTTAAAAGTTGTGTATTCACTAGACGAATATGTGTGCAATCTATTGCACCATCGATACTAGGAAAGCCTATACCTCCAGTACCACGTCCAAGTTCTTTAAATAATCGTTTATTTTCATGATATGATTCTTCTGATGATGGAATTTTTATATATTTGTTAATATAACTGGCTAATAAAATGGACACTCTCAATACAATACGTGAAATTGTTGGTTGTGATATTGTTATTATGTCTCCTAAAACAAGCTGTAAAAATATACTTATTATAGATTTTGTTTACTCTGTTAATATTATATTGCATATACTATGTGTGTATATAATTTATTTACATACCTGAAAACTTGCTGTTGAATAAAATCGTAAACATATTAATAATTGTATGACAGGAGATATTGGCAGGCCTCGATTATTTATTTTGCCAAGTCCTTGTTCTATTAAAGGTAAAATGCCAAACATTACTGAATTTTTGGAAAACCGAAATCTTCTTTTAAATTCTATTTCATTGTAA